CAACAAAAGCCGGGCCTAAGCCCAAGCCCAACTTGATAATATATTATATAACAAAAATATATACTTTTTATAATTTATATAATAAAAATATATATAATATGTCATGTTCTTTGTTATTCTTCTCTTTTTTCAAGTTGTAGTGAGATATTTCATTATGTTTGGATTTTGAGGTCTTTCAATATAAATAAATCAGTTTTTATTGAGTAATAAAATCTTTTATTTTTCTAATTTTCTAACCAGGTTTTAGGTCAGGCTCGAGCTTGGCCATAATATAGAGACAAAGCCTAGCCAATCCCATGAATAGGTTTAGTTCCATGGATATTGATATTGATCATGAACAAATATTCTAAATGTAAGTGAATGTAGAGGGAATGCATTATTTATTTATTTATTTATTTTAATTTTAAATGTAGCAACACAATAACTCTAGGTTTGGGTCTGACCAAATGCATTTTTCATTCAAAATTTAAGGTTTAAGGTTAGGGTTTAAAGATTTAGGGATTTTGGGTATAAAATTCAAAATATGTGCTCCTGGATTTGGAGCTTTCTAAATCTTCCTTGTTAGATTGAATAGGGTTTCCTATTTGATGGGCTTTGACATGGGATTAATTTGGTCAAACCAACATGAAAAATGGTCATAATAATGCTTTTCCTACTGCATTTTGGATATTCTAATAAAGAACAAAACAAAGCAAATAAAATTGTCTAATAAAGTTGCATCCTTGATGCAATCACTTCCTTTGGGTATTTAAACAAAACATTTCTTAAAGTGTAGTGCAATGCATTTTGGTTCCAATAATATGCAACACATTGATGAATTATTGGGGCCCCATGCTGCAGCAAGAAGCCATGAAACTAATTTTGCCAATGAAAACTGTTTCATTGGGGAACCTCTGGATGGCCAGATAACTACTTCCCAATCTATGTCAATTCCAACTTTTGCCATTTATTGGGCATTTCCCTTAAAGACTGTACTAATAAATGATGTAGCCTCTTGTACAGATGAATAAGATGAATATAACATTGAATCTCTAATAATCTATCCCATTTGGTAGGACAATTTAGAGGGTGTTTGTCAATGTGTATGGCTTTGTTTTTAAAAACAAAAACAACTGTTCCATCAGTGAAAATAATGGTACAATTATTTTTGTTTTCAAAAACAAAACCATATATACTAGCAAACACCCCCTTGCAATAATGAAGGGAATACAAAGTTTGACACTGGAAGAGGGTTTATTTTGAAATTAGCAGGCAAAGAAGCCAAGTTGCACATACATGCATTGTTTTGCTTTGCCACTTTTAGAGATCATGTGTGAAAAGTATAGGAAGAGAGTAGTACAACAACAATTTAACCAACTATATCCATGTAGTGCAGCATACTGTAGGCTTTTTGGTCCATCTCTTTTTTATTCTTTGGGTACCAAAGTAGAGAGAATTGTCCATATCTCTTTTTGATAAATACGATAAAGAGCAAAATGTAGTGTGTGTATCTGTAATTTGCCCTTTTATCGTCTATAAGATTTCTATGATCAAATATTTGTTTCTTTTTCCACTGGGGTTGTGTTTGTTTCAGCATGAAACAAGTGGAAATTTTAGAGGCTGAAACAATTATTTTAAGCTATATTATTGCCTCTTCCATGATGAGAACTTTTGTCCTTGCGGTTTGCAGAAACCAAATTAAAAGGGGTAGAAAACACAGTTTTCTTTCTTTCTTTTTTTTTTTTGCAGTAAAAAGGGGAAATAATAGCTGAAAATTTCCAGTCTGAAAAAGTTTTACTTCCATTTCACCAATAAACAAGTACATACTTTAGGTTTCTAGAAACCTACAAAAAGTGAAATGATTTCATTGTGATTTTCCGTTGGAATTATTTTTTTTGATTAATTTGCCATCTCTCTCTCTTCAATAATCATCCTGGTATCATTTTGATACATTACATTTTATGGCATGAAAATTATTTCATTTCATGTGGCATTCGATACAAGCTTGTTTTTCTTTTCTTTTCGTTTCTACAACATTTATGGGAACCACCCATATATGCAACCATCTAGGTGAGGGTGCAACATGAGCCGGGTTAGGGTTCAAAAAATACGAACCTGGCTTAATCTTAAAGAGGGCTAATGTTTTGGCTTTTCAATAACCTAACCTAATATGTCTTTCAGATATATAAATATAATAATGTTAATCCATTGTTAACCTCAATATACCAATCTTGAGTACAAGAAAAAGGAACATTTTTAACAAGAACTGAAGAAATGCTCAACCCAAAAGTCATTAGTCTAGGCTAGGATTAAGTGGGCTCAACAACTTGAGTTGGGTTAGAAACTTTGACCCAAATATAACGTATTGGTCTAATTTGCCCCCTTATATTTAGATCCCTTAGGCCCTATTTGTTTTTCGGTATGTTATGTATTCATGTTCTTTTATTTTTCAGGTAAATAAGATGACCATTTTTCTCATAAAAAGCTAATTTTAGAAGAGGTAATTTTGTCTTATTCAAGTGTTGATAACTTTCTCCTTAGAAAGGTTACTTATYCACCTGGGAGATGGGTCACTTACTGGGGAAGTGATACCCAAGGAAAATAAATTTTCCATGAATTTCACATAAATTTGAAAAACAAGAATAATGATTTTCCCCTCTCAAAATCTAAAAAAATGAACAAACCCTTAATGGTAGGGAACTACTTGGATCGGGTTAAACCAGGGGTTTATTAAATTTTCAATGGCTCAAATCCTAACTCGATCTTGATGTAGTTGAAATTCTTCTAATAGAGCAACCCAACCTGCAGGCTGCAACTCTACTTAATGCGGAAATCAAAAGCTTTGAAATTGATTGATCCTTAACATGCTTCTGCAAATGTCCATACACATACACCCTCCTTTGTATTTTAAACAATGCATAGTGATTAGTTACATTAAAAAACAAGTTAGAAATGGGAGAATTGGAAAATATAATTTTCACTACAAAAGTGGTGAAAATAATTGTTGAAATACTCGTCTTAAAGGAATCCTTTGTACTTAGGGGCCGTTTGTTTTTTAGTAAGTGAGGGCAAGTAAGTTGGTGGGTTTCATGAAAAAGAAAGAAACACATGTTCGTATCTCGGTATTAATGGGTTTCATGGAAAATAATAATTCTTGGGCAAATCATTTACATGGGTAATTAATACCATCTTGAAACATGGGTAAATAACTTTTCTTCTCGTGTGGAAAATTGCTAAAGCGTGATGGGACAACATTGTACTTTTAATACGACTGTATATCGTATAAAATTGTCATTATATAACTTTATCTGATAAATAAAAAACACTAATAGGTGCCCTTCTTTTAATAAATATTTACTAGGAACATCAACATTTATTTTTATGTGGATGGATCACCAATCACCGGGTCAGACTGGTTGAATGCTTTCAAAAAACGATTGGTTGAATACATTTGATTCATATCCTAAAGTTCTAATCATTTGGCATCGTAAATAACACAAAATGCTAGTGTGGACCATTTAACTCATTTTCCTTATCTAAGGTATGAGAACAGCTTTGATCAATTAAAACCCACCCTTGAATTTTGATAAATATCAGACACATTTATGATAACAGCTGATTCGTCAGAAACTTTTTGGATATAATGTTTTTCCCGTATCATAGTGGAACCTAAATCATCGATCAAATAAAAAACTGATTATGAGTATTTTGGTTCTCAAATTTGGAATTCAGTTAATTGAAAAATAATGAGGCTCCGTTTGCTTGGTAGTCAGAATCAGAATTAGAATCGGAATAGTCCATTTCCATAACATGTTTGATTAGACAGGAATGAGAATGAAAATTAAAATCAACAGAAATAAGATTTTATTTCTAAGGGAAAGGCAGGGAATAGCCATTCCCTCAAATGGGAGAATGCCATTTTAGTAAGAATGAGATTGAGATTCTGATTCCATCCAACCAAACARTTAGAATCAGAATAGTCCATTCCAATTTAAGATTCCTATTCCCGTGAACCAATCGGGCCTGAATCAATGAAATGTTATAGTGGGATTATATATTAAAATTCCATTTTCATCCAAAATAACTGAATACGAAAATTTAATTTGATTATTTTAATATTTTTAATTCAAGTCCAGTTCAATCTTCTCTCTTACAATTTCGTTTAATTAGATTTCAATTTATTGAGTTCAGTTTTTAAGGGAGTAAATCGAACATTTTACCCCTCTCAACTCAATGATCAGTCATGCATCTGTGTTGGTGCAATATTGTAGTCACCCTTGGGGAAGAGCAAGAGCTCCTCTTTGCATTCAAACCTAGATAAAGTTACGTACTATTCAAAGGGCCCCACTTTAGTTTTAACAAGTTGATTGGAATCATTCCAGTAAAGGTTGTGCATGAGTGTTTAGTATAATTAAATCCGACGATAGAGGATTGTCCTCTCATGTGAAGGCCCCACGCCACGTTTACATGATCATTATCCACAAACAACGGAACAACCGGTTGAACTGATCCGAATCAAACTGGCTGCATGTCCGAATCGTCTACCATGTTACTCGTAAGATTGCCGTCATCTCCGTGTATGTGGAACCCACTGTAAAGTTGACGTGGCGTATTATGATTGGTCAGGATATCCTCTCGCAGTTCCCATGCATTACAGGATTAGAGGTGAAATCTAAAAGCTTGAGTGCACATGAGGACGAGACGTTCCATGTAAAATCTCAAAGGAATGTCCTCGGAATGGTATTTGAACATATGGTTGGAAAAAAAAAAGAAAAAAAGGAATTTCTGACCTGAAAGGGTACTATTGACATTTCATATAAGTTTGTCGCTTATTCGAGCTCCGACAAATTGCTTCGAGGACGTGAGGTCTTAATTTGGCGGAAAAGGCGATTCAGACCAGATTCGAACCGACGACATGGCGGAAAGAAACTTGAAATTTTAACGGAGAAATCGGGGTTTTAGGGTTTTCGAATTACGCCGTTACTGACGCCGTTAATACCTGACACTGGTAGGTATTTAAATACCAGACAAGCCCACTGCACGCACCCAAGAGAGACGAAGGAAAACCAGAACGTTGAAAGGGGGACTGTTTTTTACGTCGCTTTATCGCTCAGAGAAGCTCCAGAGTGACGAGAGATCTTCTCAGATCGGAGAACCACTGTAAGAAATCTCCCACATTTTTTATATTTTTCTCTTGATGTCTTTCTTTTGCTGACTGTTTTTACTTTCGTAGATGCGAGGAATGTGAAGTAATCAGTGGAGGGGGTGGGAATCGATTTGGTTGGTTTCAGAGGTTTTTTCATGATTGATCTGTGAAGTGGTTGCTGTTGTAGCTTCTTTTGATGTCTTTACTTGTTTTTGTGTGAATATTGAGGGGAAAGGAGTGCTTTTTGTTTTTCCCCCTATTGTTTTGTTCCCTCTCTTTCTGTACGCCGAGTGATCTTTGCTTGTATTTTACTTTTCTTAGGGTTCTTGTGTACATTTCATCTGCTTCGTTCAATGCGTGATTTTTGTTATTTGGTTGCTTTGCTTTTTTTTTTGGGTAGTTTCCAATGAATCGGCCGGAAATGGCAGGGCATTTTCTGCTTCTTTGGATTTCTTTTGTTAATGCTGAAAATGGAATTAAGACTGATGAATTTTTGCTTTCTGTTCTCCCATCTTGGCTTCCTTTTCTTTATCTTTTTTCTATCGCATAAAATCAGTGGAAAATCCATTATTTTTCTCATGTTCGCTTCTCTTTTACTCGTTCCTGTTAATCAGTTTGAAAGCGGGTGGTTTTGTTACTGTTTTTTTACTTTATTATTTGCCTTAATCCTTCTAAGCATTTTATGCCTGTCTCGCGTTGTTTCATGAAACAAAACTGGAAGGAGTGGTTTTTTTATCTGCTCTTTGATTTGTTAGATCTTTTCCTGTTTTATATCGTGATCTCTCAGAAACTACTTATTTGAAGTAGGTTATAAAGATTCATGGTGTTTCTGAATGCCATACGTTTTAGTTTAGTTGGTTCTGCGTTGGAACTCAAAATATAATACAACATCAACTGTTACTAGTTGTTAAGAAAAAACGTAATCAATTTATTTATGCAAGTCCTGAAATGATCCTGTTTCCATCTTTCGACTTACCAACCAAGATGGTTCCAATATAGATGATTGATTGTGCTCTCAAATCTATTGGGAGGCAACACTGAATCCGTTTCAATTCTAAGTGGTTGTTCATGTTAATTCATCAGAAGTTATTTGCGAAACCATCAGGTCTCAACCAACCCACTTCCCACCACCCAACACACACGCACAATAAAAATATACTCGTACTCATTAGGCAGTTGATTCAAGTCAATTGATCTTTCCGTTGCATCTCATCTCTCTCTCTCTCTCTCCAGGTAAGCTACAATTTTGCCTGTTTTAATGATTTATCCTCTTCTTGTTCAGTCATTATTTTATTTTATTTTTTTGCAGTATGGCTTATGCTGGTTAATCAGTTTTTGACTTAAAAAGTGGAATTTGAATCTAGTATGGTCGTATGTTTTTATGCTTTGAATTTCAGCATTGAATTTATTTGTTTATTTTATATATATGATTGGTACTATCTGCTGTTTCTTTTCATCTCTACATTTCAACGCGAATCACCATACTTCCTTTTTTTATTAAATGATCCTGCATTACTTCATGCTAATGGCTTCTCTGGCCAAAGTGAATTGGTTTCTATTTTGCTTTGTATGATGCTTATTTATGCCTTAGCTCAATTTAGGAGTTCTAGCTGCATTCTGTTGTATGCTTTTTGGATATGCTACTACTTGAACCACTGAATGGTTAGGTTAACATAAACTGAATTTTATTGTGTTATTTTATTTTTTGGCAGTTTAATGGGGAGAGAAGTTGATGAACTTTGTATGGATAAGGAGTCTGATTGTGCCATAGTTTATTCAAATGGTGATGCACATAATACATATGATGCAACTACTCCTAAGCACAATGGTTTTACAGAGCCTGATGAGCATATTAATGGGGATGCCAAACCTTCAATTCCAGAGGAGAAGATTGAATTGAAAGATTATGAAGTTAAGGAGTGCACAACAGAAAGCCCAATTGAGATCACTGAGCTTTATCAAGTTGAAAATGGTCACAACGAGGAGCAAGATGTACTTTGCGATAGAAGCACAAACGTTGAGGCTGGCTTGTCTGATGAGGGAACAGTTGAATCTGAATCCCAGAAGGCAACCGATGCCAAAAAGTTGTCTTCTCCTGTGAAGCCAGGATCAAAATCTGCTGCTGCTGGGAATACTCGAATAAACTGTACTGTTCCTCAGCCATTTTCTTTGGCAACTGATAAACGTGCTTCAAGTGGAACTCGTCCTGTTGGGGCTGAAACTGCTGCTGCCTCTGTTGGTATAAATAAACCATCAAATGCTAACAATATACATTCTCCCAGTACTTCAAAGAAGCCTCAGGTGATGATGTTTATTTTGAAATCTATTTTTTTTGTTAATTTCATGCTATTTTCAATGCAACTAATGTAACATGAAGAACCATAAAAGTGATGGACATTTAATGGTTTCTGAATGGGTTCTTCAATCTTTAATACAATGACTTTGCATTGCTTGTTGTGTTTGTTTTTTCTGTTGAGAAATTCTGGTTTGCTACAATTTTACATAGCATAATATGCATTTGTTTGAACCACGGTAGCATGCATCTTCAATTTTAAGGTAGAGGAACCTGTATTGTGTTATAGCGTTTGATTGTTCTTTGCTGTTGGAAGTAACATATTTTTCTCCATAAAACATTTGAGCATTTTCTAAGCTTGGTTTGATATATTAATGTACTGAATCTACTTCGGTTTGTGGAGGAGGGGCAATGAATTACTTGGGGTTTTGAAATTCAAAAGGAACTCATGGTAGTTCATTCAGTGGCATGTCTGCCCTGATTCATAGGTCATTGGATGTAAAAGTATTGGATTAGTTAGAAATTATTTAATAGTTACTACTGACTAAATGGAGGATTTTTTTTCCATTGCTGTAGCTGAGAGTTTTGTATCTTGTGCAGCCTAGTACATCTTTGATATCAAGGAAGCCACTGCAACCTGATAATAAAAAGCATATTGATGAAGAAGATGCTTGTTCTGTTGCTTCCTCGTATCCTTTGACCCTTCGCAGTCCAAAGTCTAAATAATTCCTTTTTTAGTTATCTGTTTTTTTTTCTGGATCTGGTTTATCCTTAGCTATAGTTAGTACTGCAGCATCTGTTCGAGCATTAAAACCCAGGGCAACCATTGCATCAGCTCCTAAATTCCGATGCACTGAGCGTGCTGAGAAACGGAAGGAGGTACTTCAGTTTTTAGACTTCTGAATATGGATTGCCCTGCTTCAGTGACATTCATGAGTAACGGTTCTTAGTTGCAACCCATATTTAAATTATATGCTCACTCCCTCCATTCTCATTTCTTTTCTCTTCCAGTTTTACTCAAAGTTAGAGGAGAAACACCAGGCCCTGGAGGCAGAGAGAACCCAAGTTGAAGCTAGGACTAAGGTACATTACTTTCTATAGTTTTCCTTAAAGCATTAGTTAACATGTTGATAGAAGACATGGATTTATTTAACAGAGGAGATGTGTTAATATCCATTGTTTCTGGGGAAATTTCTAGATAGCATTTACTTTTATCTCTAACCAGAAGCTGATTTTATTAATGAGATTACGCAAAGGACCCCCCATGAGACAGAAAACAGCAAGAAGTTGATCAGAAGAGATAGAAAGAAGCATGTTGGTGAAGAAGTAAAACTAATTATCGAGTCCCTGGATCTGGGGCCCTCCAAACCTGCTCTGGTGGCAAAGGCGTTAGCTGATGCAGGTCTCAACCCATCCAAAAGATAGAAAAAAAATGTTATTCAGAAACTTGGAATTGGCATGGTCCGTATTTGTTGAAAGTCTTTAGGTTTAGGGCGCTATGTCCTTATGTGCAAAATGGAAGTCTTGAAATGTTTATGTTGCATGTGTCACGTGGTTACACATGGAATTGACACTCTCCATTTAACACAATATTGACGTGGTTACACGTGTCACGTGGTCTAGAATCATTTATTGGTTTCTTCCCGAGGAGCAAGTCTGCTAGGGACTTTGCTGGTTCTGTTATTTTATCTATTATGTGCAAACTTTACAGGAGGAACGAGAGGCAGCTATAAAGCAACTGAGGAAGAGTTTAATGTTCAAAGCAAACCCTATGCCAAGCTTTTATCATGAGGGACCTCCACCCAAGGTTGAACTTAAAAAGGTATGTCGCAAGTTGCCCTTGTTCTGCATTCTGTGTATTTCAGGAGCCCAGTTTTAGAGATGTTTCTTAAGCCAAAAACTTAATCTACCTTTGTTTTCATGTTTGGATGCCAGCCACCTCCAACTCGAGCAAGATCACCAAAGCTGGGTAGACGGAAGAGTTGCAGTGATGCTATCAACTCATCTCAGGGAGAAAGTGCTTGTGGCCGGGTTACCCGTCATAGTCTGGGTAGTCACAAAGAGGATACCACCACTACAACTACTAACAACAAATACCAGATCAGCTGTAAAAATGCTAACACTTCTAAAGTTAAAGATGGGCCCAAACAGGTGAGAGAAGCGACCAAGTCTGCTCCTCCCAATATTGCTGAGCAGAGGAATGTAGACATAGCAGTCCAATCGTGAGTTTCTTGATATCTTGGCTAATTTAAAAAAGCAAAAAAAAACCAGTTTCTTTTCTTTTCGTTCTGAGAAAAAGAAATGTAATCTTCCCACATTTGCAAGGACTTGTTGCAGCAGTCTGTGTGATATAGTGTAAATCATTTGTAAGTTATTACCTTATATATATAGATCTCCCATTTTACTGGACATTAATGAAAGCATCCTGGTTTGCATTTTTGGTATCACAGAGAGTTGGGGACACATAAACAGAAAGATAGTTAACCATTCACTTATTGCTACTACTAGTAGGTAACAGGTGCTAGATATACTAGTCTGTCCGTCAGGCCAGACCGGTATCGATAGCTCTGGTCTAAGACAAAGGGGCAATCGAGACATTGTCAGTCTCAGCATAATCATGCATACTGTAAAGTACTGTTAACAAAAGAAAAAGATGCCTAGTCTCTGATGTGTGCAGCACCTGGTTTTATTCAATTGGTGTAGATGACTTTTTGTGGAGAATATGCTGTGGATGTGGAAGTAGAATTGCTATTCAAAAGGGGGACTTTGGCATGGACCGACAACTCTGAAACACTACTCTGTTTACATCTCTTTTTGTTTCTTATTGTTATTTTAGTTTGACCAGTTGATTATTTGTCAAGTAATCTAAGGCATTTGATGGTACATATTTGATCAGGCCGATCTGACATCTGGAAAATCCATTTGACTCCACAATTCCCCATGGGTGTGACACCTCATAGGTTGAATTGTGTTTTCTTCATTTCAAACGAGGAAACCTTGATTTTTCTCTTCTTTCACTCTTCCTTTGACTGAACATTTTACGCTGGCGCCTTGCAGATGCAGAATCTTGGGATTTACTATCAACTATGAAAGGCAAATCTGTTTTCCAACAGCTCGGGTTTCCTACCCACGCTTGCCCACATGACATGGCAGGCACACATGGAGAACACCTCCTGTGATTGTATGTTATTTTGTGGGTAGGAGATCTGGAGTCGTTTTCCAAAGCTAACATCTAATGGGGAAGATGGTTAATGGGTTGGTCAGGTCGGGTAGATTCAAGGAATGGCGTGTGTAYAAGTTGTACTTTTGTTGTATAGATATCATCAGATCAGTGAAAACTGAAGCACACCTTTACCCTTCCATGATGTTTGATCTTGTCACTGGATCTGCAGGGGGTATGACATTGTTGAGTTCTGGGAGTTTGTTTAAAGGTACAGGAACCCATCAACGGCCTATATACTCACTCATAAACCATTGTTGAGTTCTGGGAGTTTGTTTAAGGAATGCCAAATGCAGCCTGAAGATCCCTTTTAGGGGCCAAATGCCCAAATCAACGTGAAAGATTCCTAGATACTTCCCCTAGACGACCTCTCTAGCGTTTATTCCTGCACGATTACACGTTATACGTAGATAAAAAAAGAATAGATATATTATTATTATGCATGAAGTTAGCCAAGAATAATCTTGTTCTCTTTCTAGAGGCGCAGGAAAATGACTTTCCAGTTTCCGCCACATATGGCCGCTGATGTGGAAAACTAAACTCATCCATGATCCATCTGATGAAGGAACCATTGAAGTTTGAATCACCTAGGTGGATAACATTCTATCCCCTTATCTCACTGTGAACCCCTTTTGCCTAAATACACTTCAAATTTTAAAATAATCAAAATATAACAAAAAAAAGGGGTCTTTTCGCTCTCTGGTGTACCGCCCATGAATATAAACTTGCCACATAAAATGATGTAGTAGACCAAATGAACCTATATGGACCAGCCAAAATGGGTTCTCTTGAGAGATAACTTGACCTCGGTAGTTGGTAGTTTTCTATGTATCAAAACAGACAAGCAAGTGGAGGATGGGCTTGAATCCTCATGCAGTCCAACCCATGTCTGGTTGGGCCTGCAATGTATGACCACATTAAAAGAAATTGAAGGTTAACCTAGGGCTCGTTTGGGAGGGATGAGCTAAATAAAAGCTTTGGTTCAGCTGCTTTGAAGAAATGCCTTGGAGCCCATTTGGGAGGGCTTCATTGATTGAGCTATGCTGACTGATCTGTTTCCGAGAAGCTACCAAAAATGCTTCATCAGAAAGTTGATTTTGCAGTTCATGTAAGCCTATTTCTGGATTTTTAGGATTTTCAGCAAACATGACTTCATGGCTTTCCATCATGGTTTTCAAAACTGGACTGGACCAGGCAGTCGGACCGGAAAAACTGGGAACTGGTCAGGTGACCGTTCTGTTTTACCCCAGAACCGTTATTTCGTCAAAAATCGTTGATTTGGTCAACAAACCGCTGACATGGGTGGTCTAACCATTCGAACCATTCAATGGTTTTGGCTGTTTCTTATTAATTTTTTTTTTTTATTTTTTATCAGAACAGGCCATTTGTTCGGTTCAAACGGTTGGACCGTTTGACCCGGGAACTGGACCCCTGACCGGTTTATTGTCTGGTTCGGTTTTAAAAACCTTGCTTTCCATGTGTGAGGCCTATCTTGCAATGCCGGAAGCTGCCGTGTGAAAGTCCTCCCAAACATACACTTGGTTCAGCTAGATAGACATATGTTTGTTGACAACTGGCTTAACTGCCTAAGAATAATTGCATGGTTTTCAAAACCGGACCGGAAAACTGGGAATCAGTCAGGAGACCGGTTCCGTTTTACCCCAGAACCGTTATTTTGCCCAAAACTGTTGATTTGGTCAGCAAACCGCTGACCCGGGCAGTCCCATTCAAACTGTCCAACGATTTTGGTCGTTTTTCATTTTTTTTTGTCAGAATGGACTGTTCGTTTGATTTGAATGGTTGGACCATTCAACACAGGAACCGGAACCCTGACCAGTTTATTGTCCGATTTGGTTTTAAAAACCTTGAACATTCCCAATAAGCTATTCAAAAGAGGATGAAGTGGACAAACCTTCGACTGACTCATTGACAGCCGATTTGGCTCTCCAGATTTTTTCACCAAACATAGCTCGTGGCCTGTCCGTGTGGGCAACATGTTACATGTATGGATAGCCCAGAAGCCAATGCACTCGTTTGGGAGGGCGTCAGTGTTGATTAAAATGCATTGACTGAGCCAATTTGGAGAAGTTACCAAAAATAACTTCTCCGCTCATGTAAGTTTTTTTTTTTTTTTTTTGCTTTTGGGTTTTTCACCAAACATAGCATCATGGCTTTCTAAGTAGCACCTAACTTGCAAAGCCAGAAGCCGCTGTTGCGTGAAAGCCCTCCCAAACAGGCACCTAATCAATCCAACCTCTAAACTTTAAGCCAGATTGCCTGCCTATCAGCAGGGTCCAATGTTTTCAAACTATTCCTAGAATGTGCTCAGTTTTTTTTTTTTCTTCTTTTGGATTTGAAACTCAAAATTTTGAGACAATATCAGTGGCTGTGGCTTTTCAGCATAACTAGCAAAAAGCATGCAACAGGAATATATTCCTCTGGTTGTGGTGGAAGAGCATAATCATCATCCCTTTTTTCATTTCTATCCTTTACACTGGATAAATATGTCTAGCTACTTTGAATTTTTCTCCTTCCAGCCTTTTACATTATCTGGTTTATCTGATCAACAGTTAAGCATATTATGAAGCGCAATCATACTTTTGATTTGCCAATTACCATCGACCAAACCAGGTTTATGATAGAGTTGGTTCAATCTACAGTTTGGAAGGTGGTTCTATATTTTCAAAGTAATTGAAAGATTTCCAATATGATGTGCTGGTTCAATTTCAAACTTTTAGGGAACTAAAGATGAGCAGATCATCAAGACAAAAGCACCTTTCAGAAATGGGTTATGATAACTCAATCGGATTCCTTTCAGACCAACATTAGATCTAATTACTGGAGCACACTGGTTTCATAATCTGGATGCACTACGAATGTATTTTCTCACACTCACTTTATGATGGTTTGATAGATTGATACTGTCCAAACAGATCTTTGTGATTATAAATTAAGAAATTTTACAAACTGCCCTTTTTCCTGTCCTTTAGCATTTGGGGTTCTCTAATCTAAGCCTGTATATATAGCTGATAATACTGAACCACAGTTTTGTTGGAATTATTCACCTTTCTTCTCTGTAGGCAGGATCAAGTAATTGAACTTTGGTCAATCTAGAATTCCTCAGTAAACCAAATCTAGACATCATGATCTCCGGCTTTGGCGAAGTTGCACCAGTCGATCTATGCATTCAGTGATAAGGTAGTACTTTGGTGAATTAGCTCCAAGATATTGCTTTATTGACAGATTGTGGGTTACATTATTGGATTAGGAGTTGCCCATCTTTCACTTTATAAAAAGGGGCTTGATGAGCTTAAAAGTATTCATGGAAAGTTGTGCTTGTGAAATTAGACTTACATAAAATCTTTTTTTTCCATTTTATTTAATTTATTTGTTTACTTGAAAACATTACAAAAAATCATGATTTTTAAAACTGAACCGGTCAGGGGTTCAGTTACCGGGTCGAACAGTCTGACTGTTTGGCCCGAATGCTCGACCTATTCTGATAAAAAAATAAAAAAAATAAAAAAAATAAAAAATGGTCAAAACCGTTCAAATGGTTAACCACTCGGTTCAGTGGTTTGCTGACCAAAATCAATGGTTTTGGGGGGAAATTCGGTTTTTGGAGAAAACAGAACCGGTTACCTGACCGGTTCCCATTTTTTCTGGTCCAACCGTCTGGTCCGGTCCAATTTCGAAAACCATGCAAAAAATGACTTACAAAATATGTATGTATGTATTTATGTATGTATATATGATGAACAAGATCAATCACACCATGCATGTAACAGAAAATCTTAAATGACACACATGGGTTCAATTTCTTTCTTTCTTTCTTCCTTTTTATATCTTTTTAGGTAGAAAGAGGTCAATTTCAAAACCAAAGGGCTTAGGTAACTAACTGAATAAATTCATCAGTAAGCTTCCTGTGCATTAGTCCTCCAAAAATTTATACTTTTCCAGTGTCTACTTCTCTTTAGCTGCATTAGTCCTCCAAAAAGCTTTTAACAGACCAACCCAGTTTGCCTTGACATTTAAGCTTGGAATCACACTAGCTAGCTAGTTGCGTATTCTCCCATGATGAAGGTTCTCCACCTCCCATCTTCTTTTTTCCCCAGTGGAAAAGAAAAAGAGGTGTCCTTTACTTGAGAATAAACTCAAATGTCAAGATACTCAAATAAGTAAGATCCTCTAGGACTGTTTAATAAACTTCATGCAGTAATTAATTCAATTAAAATCCCATATCAATGATGTCAATCATTTGCATAATTCCTTAAGTAGTAAATTCTCTATGGCACTTATTTCAGAGAATGGAGCCAAGACCCAATCAGTGTTTAAATCCCGGTCCGGTTCAGTGGGCCAAACCATGATAATGTCATTAATTATTATAAAAAAATTCAAAAAAACAAAGGATAAAAAACCAGAACCCATTTGATGGGTTAGATGGATTTACGGTTTAACCACCCGAGTTGATCGGTCATTGACCAAATCAATGTTGAATGGGTCAAACCATGATATCATTATTATAAAAAAAAATTCAAAAAACAAAGGATAAAAAACCGGAACCTATTTAATGGGTTAGATGGATTTACAGTTTAACCATCCGAGTTGATGGGTCATTGACCAAATCAATGCTTTTCTTTTCTTTTTGGCTTAGAGGTTGATCAGAACCGGGATTGTGATTGAATCACCGGTCTAACCAGCCAGATCTATCCACGACGGGTTGAAAACAGTGGACCCAAGGCTTTGTTTAATAGTGTCTTATACATGGATTAATAAGAGAAATTGCGAAGGTTAAAGCAATTCAGGAGTTGACCTCAAAATAGAATAAGGTAGCCCATTCTCTTATTTAAATCCCATTTATTATCTAATCTGTGACAAAAAGTCCTTTAACTTCTCCATCAAACAATTTCTAATTATATTTGCTTTTAGGCATAATTTACCCTAATTTCATTGCTCACTTTCTTAAAAAATGTATCCTATATTAACTTCATCACTGGTGTGAAAAGAATGCTGAGGATGGTGTAATAAGTGGACTCCATGTCATCTGACCCAAGAAAGAATCTCTCCCCATCCTCACGTATATAAGGACCCATGAAAGATAATGCATGGCCAAATCAATCTCAAAGTTCTCTCTCTCTCTCTCATTAAAACGAGCTGAGGGTTGAGGGGAATGTTGTCTGGTTCGAGACCATTCATGTGAAAGAAGATAAAATCAGCATCAGATGGGTGATTTCGGACCAGGCTTCATTCCCCCCAACTCGGAAGAATTTCGTGCTGCCATGATCATCCGATGACCTCTGGTTGTAATTTGGTGTATTTTCTTCACTGACTCACTGATCAATGCCCTATTTCCTACTAGCTATACCTGCATCAACTACTACTGTGTTCATTTGTTTCAACAAGTAATTGTAGAACTTTTTCTGTTTTCTCATGCGGAGATGACGGTGAGTTCTTTCTTGTTTCTTCCAGGCTAACAGAAATACACAGACGATGGTTAATTAAGACATGCATGGAACTCAAAGGCAAGTGATGAGGCGTAAGTCTGCCGGAAGAAGATTCGAGTTTGTGTTGCTGCAAAGCTGCCAGAAGGGTATGAAAACAATAATGGCTTATTCTACGGTAACCTTATACTTACCTAATGAATTGACAAAAATAGATAGTCTGGTGTGAACACATGACTATAATCAAAGGTTGGTCTTTTCTGGTTTGTTTATTTTGGGAATTTGAGGTGATTTTAACAGATGGCCTTTGCTTGCAGAGAGTGAGAAGGAATAAGTAGGACCTTTCACTTTATCGTTACATATGAGAGAGAGAGAGAGAGAGACCCCATTAAAGGTGAGCTTTGAATTTAGCCTCCCTTTCCCAGTTTCCCCCATGAGACTGCAATAATAGCATCTCTCCTTAGTCCATACCAAACTTTTAATGTGGATCGATGTGATACTACCCAATACCCATGTGGGTTAGATCTACAAGAGGAAACTTACACTGCAATTTGAGTCAGATACTAAGACTATGTTTGGTTAGCTTTAATGCTCATTCTTCATCATTCTTACCCTTGGATCAAAATTCAAGAATGAGCGAAGTTTGCCATGGACGAACAGAAGTTTTTCTTTTKCTGAAGAGCGACTTCTTTTCATGGCACTAATTAATGAGAATGAAGTTTTTTTTTTTGCTGAAGAATGACTTCTTGTATCTGATTGGTTACAATTCTCATTCTTATTCTTTATAATTCTATCTTGACCAAACAAATGAGATCATATTCTATTTAATAAAATTAAAATGGGTTTATCAACTATATATTACCTTCTAGAAAATGCATTATACAGATGCATCAAATTACATATCATTTTAGTTTTGAACATGACCCCAAGTCTCCATCTGCACAGAATTTACATTATACAGATGCATCATTACAATGTGACATTACATGAAATAATTGAGATAAGATTCATTTCGGTGATTTATATGTGTATTCTATTATTCTTGGAAATATGCTCTGCAAACTGTGAATATCTAATATTTGAAAGTTGGGTTGAAAAGATTGGATTGAAATGTACTCGTTGGATTTGATAGGATTTGGACAGGTTGAGAATTAAATTAAGAACAAGAAGGAGAAAAAAACAAAAGAAAAGGGCCACCTAATAAGAGCTTGTCTCCTTACGTGTTACTCATATGTTGTAATAGCTTTTCCCTGCTGAAATGTAGGGTTACCAAACCTCCTAAGAAGTTAGATTTGTCAAGAATGTAAGAATTTTGATCACATTTTATTTACTTTTTCATCATATTCATCCTTCTTCTCACATTCCCACTGTCTAGTTCTCATCTCTCTCTCTTTTATGTGGAGAGAGATTTTTTTCTCCCTAATCAGCTCTATCTGATATACCTTCTTGTTTCACTTTTATCATACAATGTGGGGTTCTCTCGATTAAGAGAAACGAAAATTAATTACCCCGACTAATGAAGTTACACCACCACTCAAACTCATGTTTATACATATTTACACTAATAATTAAGGACCGAACCCTTTGATAACAGCTGAAGTGGTTGAACCTAATGATGCTTATTGTTGTCTTTTAGGCTCAGTTTGGAAGGAGTACAAATGCAAATATGTACAGTGCAAAATCTTATATTTTGTGTGTATTTTCACTATGCATATTTGCATTTGTGTTCTTTCCAAACTGAGCCTCTGGCTGTATTTGATCGCAATGCAAATAAATTTGTACTGATACAAAACTATAAGTGCAAATGATCTGAGTGTAAAATTTGACCTATTTTTGTTTTAAATTTTAGCTTATCTTATTTGATTGTAGTACAAATAAAATAAATTAAGACATGAAGTAGAATAAAGTATTAATCCAAAAAAAAAATGAAAATTTACATTTTTTTTTGCATTTGCACTCTTATACATTTGTACTAGTGCAAATAAAATTGCACTGCAACCAAATACAGCCTTAGTGAGTAAGTTATTCAGAAGACCACAAACTCTTTAATGGCTGAAACTATTTGAAAGTTGAGTTGATTACCATACCTTCCAACATGTTATCATCTAATTATTTTATACACTAAAAGACAAAGCAATGTTCAACCATTTCAGCCGTTACCAAAAGGCCCTAAGGGTGTCCAGAAATATTTTTTGGTTCATAGTGTATTGTATCAAACTAATCAGCTTATAATCCTATTATTTATGTTGATTAGCCAAATATTATACTTTGGCCTCTCTCTCTCTTTCTCTCTCTCTGATCAGTCAGTTCATTATTATAATATCATAGTGAGGTAAGTAATTGGTTAACTTTAGAGAGGGAGATGGTTTTGTCCACCCAGGAAGAGAACAAAGTGTTCTCTCTCCTTATTGTGTTGTACAAGTGGGTACATATATAAGGCGCTAGGTACTTTAGTATATGATTTCTCAGCGTGTTACCAAGAAAATTTCTATATCAAAATCAGCCCAGCTTGAATGAAACCATACGATTTCTTATTTTGATATATATATAATTTTCCGACCGTCTAAAAGGCTGTAGGATGTGATGGGTAACCCTTGAGTCTTTGACAAAGTGTACCACAAAGTTAATTAGGTAGGATGGCTTCTTCTCTCATGACATAAAGGTCTCTTTCATGAACACAATCACACACACACACTAGTCCTCAATCTGATACAGGTATTCTACTATACTGCTTGCCTATATAGTCTTTAGAGCAGTCAAAAGCGGGCAAAGGAAAAAATAAAAAAAGAAAACGCTTGAGTATATATGACAAAAAGCACTTCTCAAAGTGAGGTGAATTAAATAAAGACACCTTAAATTCCTACTCAAAATAATAAAATGGATTACCCCCAAAAACATTTTTCTTACTTTTTGACTTACCCATTGAAGATACTAATAATCATTCCATAGGGAACGCAGAAGTCCATTCAAAAGACAGGATTTTGTTGGGCATCACAATCACAACACTCATGCCCATTTCAAGTATAAAGTGGCTTCACCTAAAGCACCCAAGTTCTTCTTTGATTTGTTTAATAGACAGGACAATCACAACACATTAGTCCACCACGATTGATCACTCGTCCAACTCTGATTCTAATTCAAATTAATCTTTTTCTCCAATAATCTAATAAACCCCTTTAATTTATCATGTACCCTTCATCACTCACAAATCAATGATCCGGTTTGAGATTTATTATTATTGTAGTGGAAAGGTCCTCTGGACGGCTCAACTATTTATCCCTTTTTTTTTTTCTTTTTCTGCACTACTTGGGAGGAAGGAAAAGCTAATCCAAACCAATTATTAGATGTTCAATGTTCTAGACTAGCCACGTGTTAACTTCTCTTTTAAGTACCCTGTTTTGTATTTGATTCATCTCTCATCCCGGCCCAAACCCAGATGGCCAGATGCCAGAAGACTACTTCCCTTTGTCATCTGAAGCGGCTCCAGCGCTGAAGCTAGGATGATTCAGACATGCAGCAAATACGTCAAGACCTGATTGAACCACCGCCTAGATAGGCTGCTCTCTGTAAGGTTTCTGGGTTGCCATGTCTTTTTACTACATGACTGGTCTGGTCTAAGTCTAACCCACCCGACAGTAGTAGTGGTTGCAGTAGCAAAAATTTGAATGGATCAGATAAGAATGGACCAGTCTTGCCAAGGGTTTCCTTGTTTTTTGCAGTTGATGTTGAGTTTTAATGATGGGGAAGCATACTGTACCCAATGGTGGGCCATAAGAATGGCCTAACAATAATTAACCAGTGTGGATGGGCCCAACAAAATTAAGATTGGTTTCTGGTGGATCTCCAAGTGGGGCCCTGTAAAGGTTGGTCCCATGAAGAAATTTTATTGGTAGGGTTTCAAATCATGTGGTGGTTTCCTATGTAGATATTTTATACAATTATTACCCTTTATTACCCCTGTTGTATACCATTCTTATGGTCTACAAATCCGTATGGAAGTATGGGCCTATCCAATATCCATTGTTTGGATCTCTGCAGCCCATCACTTTTGACTATATAGCATTCATGTGGTCTATTTTCATACCACCTAATCTTGATCAGAGTTGAAAGTTCTCATGATCTCCATTTGATTTACACACAAAAGAGAGAGATAGAGATAGATAGAGAGAGAGAGAGACCCATTCCTACAACTTTTCTTTTAAAAAAGTCCTCTCTCCAGCATCTCTTGTTTCCAACTAAAGTAGTGGAAATGCTGCTTTCCCATACTAGATATAAAAAAGGAGATCACTACTAATGCATGCATACTTGTGGGCTCCTCTAACAAAAAATATTACTACTTTTGCTTCATCAAGGATCTTGATTCTCACTTCACTTTCTAATTAAGCAGACAAATGTGTTTGTTACTTTAATAAGATTTTCAAAACCCTAGATTTGTTTCAGGGTTTTAGCTCCAAAATCTTCTTGGAGATTGAATAACATCTTTGTACGACTTCACCCCTGTTTGGGGATTTAATTTGTTGCTGAAAATCCTTCCAATTTCTTTTTTCTTTACCTTCTTCTCTTTTCTTAGCTGAATCAGCTACTTTTGTACATACAACAAGATATTCTGCTGAGTTTGAAAAGTAGATTAAAAATAATGTCAGGATCAAATTCAAAAGCCTTTACATGTACAGTTGCCTCTAAGCATGTTTATACACAAAAGAGAGGTGAGATTATCATCATCATCATCTTAATCATACAATGTTTATATTGCCTTGGCCTCATGTCAAGGTGACCATCCCAAAAAACTTCCAGTTCTCTCTCTTTCTCATGCAAATGCATGTAAGACTCAACTAGTAATTATATCATCATCATCATATTTTGGGATGGTCATCTTGGCATGAGACCAAGCCAAATATGAGCATCATAAGATGATATGTCAAGATGACAATCCCGAAATCTTGTTCCATTTAATTTTATTCCCTCCCCACTATATATATTCATCTCTCTACTTGTAAAAACAAAACGCTTGTGGCATTCAACTATTAATATCATCATCACCAGCACCCCATCACTATCATTATTATTTTCAAAGGGGGTTTTTTGTTGGTAGCTAGCTACTTGGTGCTGTAATCTAGAAACATGATATACGAAGTTTTGCACTTAAGGCTTCGTTTGGAATCACTAAATCAGAAAGTGACCGTTGTTTTTTTGAAAATAGTAATGATCGATGTAAAACTTTATATTTGATGAGGTTTTACATTGATTATCGATGTAAAACTACACTCTATCCAAGCGTACGTAAAACTGAACTGAACCGATGCAAAACCGATAATAATTACACTCTCTTTTCAAACACATGCAAAACCGAACCGATGTAAAATTTACATCAGTTCTTGATTTACATCGATCGCATCCAAATGCAGTCTAAACAAATACAACTCTTCTCATAATGAACCAGTGGATTTTGTTTTGCAGTTAGAGCTCCCAACTCCAGCATCCAATATTGCTAAAGAAGCTGAGGTTTTAGGGTTGTCAAGCCCCGACCACTTAGATAATATTATTTTTTTGGTATTAATCAAAGCCTGAATCCCCCCATAGGGCCAAATGAATGGTGGCTCAGTTGGTATATTATCTGGTTAGTCTCAGTGGAAACATGGATTTGAGTCCTGCTATTACCACCAACGTTGAAAAGTTGGAAGTGTATTGTGTTAAATACAAAAAAAAAAAAAAATCCCCCCACAAGGGCTGTTATTTTTCTATGAATTAATAGTACAACATCACATAATAACCAGTTTGATATTTATACAGTTATTTTTAATTTTGCTACCGCTGCTGATATGGTAGGCATAAGACAGATCAACGCTAC